CATTTCTTCCATTTGATTTATCATCTCTATGCTGGAGAACAAGTTTCAGTGTCTCTTCTGACATCCATTTTGACCTTTTCCTTCTTTCTTGTCTTCTCAACGACTTTTTGCTTTCTTCATGTATGATGTTCTTGATGTCATCCCACAACTCTTCTGGTCTTTGGTCTTTAGTGTTTAATGTATCAAATTTGTTCTTCAGACGATCTCTAAATTCAGGTGGGATATATTCAAGGTCATATTTTGGCTCCCATGGATTTGTTTTCATTTTCTTCAGCTTCAGTTTCAATTTGCATATGAGTAACTGATGGTCTGTCCCACAGTCTGCCCCTGGCTTTGTTTTCACTGATAATATGGAGCTTTTCCTTCTTCTCTTTCTGCAGATGTTGTCAATTTGTTTTCTATGTTTTACATCTGGTGAGGGCACGATTATAGTTGTCTGTTATGCTGTCTAAAGACAGTATTTGAAATGAACAAATTATTGGTTTTGCAGAATTCTATCATGCGTTCTCCGGCATCATTTCTATCACCAAGGCCATATTTTCAAACTACTGATTCTTCCTATTTGTTCCCAACATTTGCATTCCAATCACCAGTAATGAGCAATACATCTTGATTGCATGTTTGATCAATTTCAGATTGAAGAAGTTGGTAAAATTCTTCTGTTTCATCCTCACTGGCTTTAGTGGTTGGCGTGTAAATTTGAATGATAGTGTAAATTTGAATGATAGTGGTATTAACTGGTCTTCCCTGTAGGCGCAAAGATATTTTCCTGTCACAGACAGTGTTGTACCTCATGACTGATCTAGATATGTTCTTTTTGACGATGAATGCAAGACCATTCCATTCCTTTTCAATTTGTCATTCCCGGCGTAGTAAACCATCTGGTGGTCAGATTCAATATAACCAATACCAGTCTGTTTCAGCTCACTAATGCCTAAGATGTCGATGTTTATGTGTTCCATTTCATTTTTGACAACTTCCAATTTTCCCAGATTCATCCTTTGTACATTCCATGTTCTGATTTTCAGTGGATGTTTACAGCTGTTTCTCTTCATTTTGAGTTGTGCCCCATCAGCAAATGAAGGTTCTATGGGCTTTTCTCCCACAAGCTTTATTCCATTCACGTTATCACAGTCAACTCTACTTTGAGGAGGCATCTTTTCCCCTGTTGCATTTTAAGTGCCTTCCAACCTGAGGGACTCATTTTCTGGCACTATATCTGACAGCATTTGTCTGCTGTTCATAAGGTTTTAATAAAGATTCAGAAGTAGTTCGTCACTCTTTCTTCCTAGTCTGTATTTGTCTGGAAGCTCATCTGAAACCTGTCCACCATGGGTGACCCTGCTGGTTATTTAAAATACCAGTGTCAAAGCTCTCAGAATCACAGTATCTCACAAGCCACCACAGTATAACAAACTGACAGACAAGTAGTGGCCATTTGGTTTTACAGAGCAGATAATTCAACAAATCATATACTGTTCCATCTCAATGATTACAGTTCCTTTAATGTAATAACAGTTATCTCTCTTCCTCTCTGTCGTTCTTATTTCCATTCCACCCACCTTCCTAATACTTCTGAATTCTGTCCCCAGGTAAAGTGAGCATACCTAATAAGTGTTCTTGTCCCCACTATATAGCTGTCTACCAATTGGTTGAATATTGGGCCATGAGGGTGAATTACATTCCAGAGGTGAAGGGTGGCTGAAGGTCATAGGTTCCTCTATGATCTTCCTTTCTAACCAGTAAGACTGGTCATTTTTATAATTTTGAATTTGTTCCACATTGTATCCCATTCTATCTGTGACCTTCTAATGTGATCACTTTCAGAGCAGTTGATAGAGGTAGCTGGGCATCATCAATTTCTTCTGGTCTCAGAGTTACGGAGACTGATGTTCATGTGTTCCATGAGTCCATTGGACTAATTTATTCCAAGAATTTTCAATATTTATCATTCTTCTTTCTTCCACAAACGGAGATACCAATGGTTTCACCTTAGATGGCCACTCATGAGCTTTTAAGATATCAGATGCTACTCACCAAAGTAGAATGCAAAACATTGTCTTTGTGTACTATGTTATGACAATTGGCCATGATGGCTCCTGAACTATGGTCATGAGCCCCAAGACCCAGCAACTCATTGCCTCAAGGTATTTAGTAATGTCTGTCTTGGTGTGGTGCTGTGGGTTATTGCATCAGACTGCAAAGTCATTTGAACTGAAAGATCAGTGGTTCAAGCTCACCAGCTGCTCCTTGGAAACCATATACAGGGTCATAATGGATCAGAATTGACTTGACTCAATGGCACTTCATAACAACAACAAATAGTTTTCATCATTTTGTCCCCTGTATTTGTAGTATAATGTATTATTTAATGTCTGTTCTATTCATAGTCTGTAACTTCTATCAAACAAAGTTTTTGACCTTCTGGGTAAGAGAAGGTGAGAGAAGATACAAATAGGATGACATGATTCAGTTGTGGATGTTAGCAGAGTTAATTTTAACTGTGAAGCCTTGAAAGAATTCATGGGCATGAAATGAATAATCTCAGAAATTGAAGGGGGAACTCATTATCGTCAAAGAAAAAGAGTCAGGAGTGGAATGCAACCTTTGAAACCCAAAATTCGCTGAGCATTGAACTTCGTCATCACAGGGACAGAAAGCTGTGACACCAGAAGAGTGGCAGAGGAGCAGCAACAGCAGAACCAAGAGCCAGAGCATGTAGCAGAGCAGTGGGTTTACCAGTCCATGAAGCAAGGAAAGCTGAGTACCTTTGGATAGGAGGCTTGCTTGAAGAGTGGGGTACCTCCAGGTGCTTGACTGGTGTGAGGCTGGGTTTGCTGACCCATCGAGCTAGAGCAGTACCTTCAGGTTGAGGCTTATGCTGGAGTGGTGTATGGTGTGGCCTGTGGA